ATGTAATGTAATTTGCAGTATTTCCAGGCAGCCCGGCAGCCAAAAAAAGAAGGGCAAAAAAAAAGGCCCAACAAAAGTTTCCTCCCCAGTACTAGGGGCCCCATGGAGCAGCCTGTACTGATGATGGGTAGGTGCACCTCTGCACCAACACGTGAAAGGATAAAGGGCCATCACAAGTGACGACCCTACATGACATAATTGCAGGTCATCCTGTGCAGGACCTGCCAATCTTCTCCGTACGTTCCATGCACCGTGGCCTGTGACCAAAATTAATGCTGAGTGCATGGATTTGCGATGGTTGGTTTTGCGTGCAGCCGCTTTGCTTCTGCAGGCAGGCAGGCCTGTTTAGGAGGACCGTTTCATGTACACACAGCTCTGGGGTGGGGTGGACGAAGCACAAGCGCCTAACCTTGGGCACTGTGCCTCTTTCGTGACCTTCAATCATCCATTCCGTCTTTTGCGGTGGGGCATGTCATGAGAGCACCGTAGCAGAGCGTCGACGCAGCAAGTAGATTTTGCACACGTAGGGACAAGCCTATGCATCATGGAGTTCGCTTTGTCTCGCTAGTATGAGTGGCAGCTCGTGGAGCAAAAGGTGAAGGCGCAGTTCTTGACGTGCGTTTTGCTTTGAATGTCCTGGATGTTTGCCACTTCTTTACTGGCAGGATTGGGTCCTCTTGGAGCACGGTCAGCGGTTCCAAGGCACCGAGATGAAGAAGGCAAGATTTCCCCACGGCACTCACTGCTTTGCAAGCTCGAAGCTCAGATCAGGAACAATGCTACAGCGAAGTCAACGAAATTCCCGTTTCTGTATTCAAGCAAGGATACGCCGCAGCAACCTCAGCATGCATTGCGCAGGGTTCCGGGTTGCTTCAACGCTTTTTGCGAAGGCCACAGCGGATGAGCAAGAAACAAGCCACGAAACTATTGAAGAGACGCGTGAAGGCTTGTGCAGTGGCATCGGACGCGCTGCCAATGCATGCAAGTTTGTCTTGCAAGAAACCTGATTTCGCGGACAGGCTCTTCGTCGACGGGGCATCTGGTGCAGTATCTTCCTCAACCAACCGGCAGGCTTCAAACTCCGATTGCATTTAACCTGTTGCCATGCAGGCTATTCGATGTGAGACTATTACCCTTAATGTCCGTTTACTTCCCAGGCCTTCTGCGTGTGCATTACCGGTGAAACTTGCAAAGTAACCAGCAGTTCTAAATCTGGGGGCAAGAATTCTGGAGGTTTCAAAAGATGCGCACTTCTAATGCCCAGCCACGCTTCTATTTCGATGTTGCCAGGCTCTCAGACTTCAGCGCGAAGGCAAAATCTTCCTTGGATGAGGCTGTGTGATGGCAAACCCTTCGCGCCGATGTTGAAGCAAGACATTCGCGCCAGGCTTCACGTTTCACAGCCGGCTGAGCGGCAAGTCAGTCACCTACTCTATGTTGGGAAGATCGAAAACCGAACTCATGCAGGCCGCTGTCTGTGATTGTTTTGTTGGGATGGCAATTTTCTTGATGTGAATGTACAGAAATGCGTGAATAAGATGATAGGCTTAAATCTAAAATGTCGCTTAAGCAGCTATCTCTAATTTCCATCTTTTTTTTGTAATTTCCATTTTGGAGCTCCTGATTCTTAAACCTAAAACGTCGCTTAAGCATCTATCGTTAATTTCCATTTATTCGGATGGTTTTGAAGGTCCTGATGTTTAAACCTAAACCGTCGCGTAAACAATTATCTCCACCTCCCGCCCTTCCGCACTCCCCCTCTTTGCGAAACACGCATCGCAACAGTTCCCTCCTCGCCTCCTACCCTCCCCCACTCCCATATTTTGCGAAATATATGTCGCAAGAAATCCCTCCTCTCCGCCCTTCCTCCCTAACTCCCGCCCTTTGCCCCCTCTCGCCCTCCCACGCTCGCGCACTTTACAGGGCAACTTGTTGTCCCTGGCTTCTGCAAAATCTGGCTCCTGGGAACCTTGGTCTCCGGAAATCCATGTTTTGCCGTAGTGGATGCATTTCTTTTTTCTGCAGTGGGATTTATTTTTGGCTCCCACGTATTTTTATATTTTTTTTGGATATGATTTGGGTAAGCCCTACTGTAAAACCATTTTCTTCGACTTGAAGAATTTGACGGTTTTGAAGGCATTTGGGCGGCAGCGGGCACTGGAAACTATATGATTTGAGAACCAAAAACCATTGGTTTTGGAAACGCATTGTGCTGGAAATTATAGATTCTGGATTTGCTTCTGAATGGAAATTGCATTTTGCATGTAAGAAATATAACGGGTGCGTTTTTTGTAATGAATCTTATTTTTTGCTCGTATTTCTTATTTTACGAAGTCGGTGTTTTTGTTGCATTTTTTTTCTGGATGCGATTTGGATAGCCCCTATTATATCTGATTAAAATATTTTCTATGACTTGAAGGATTTGATATTTTCGAAAGTATTTGGGTAGTAGCAGGTGCTGGAAATTATGTGGTTTGGAAATTGAAAATCATTGTTCTTGAAAATTGCGAGCATATCATTTGGATTTGGTTCTGTTCTGAATGGAAATTGCATTTCTTATGCAAGAAACTATATGGTAGAAGCTCCAGCCCGATTTGCGTGAATTCGGGTTAAGATATATCTATAAATTTGGGCTCCAACCCTGAGATCTAGAAAATTTGGGTTCCGGAACCCTGGTTTCTGGACCGCGCGTGCCTCGTTCGCCGCCCTGCTCGCTGCTTGAGCTGCCCAATGAGGGGCCCCATGACCCAACCGACGGCCTTGAAGTTGCACTCGGGGAGCTCCTGGCGGGCCACCAGCCACCAGCGCCCAGTAGGCTGTGAGCGCGGCTCGGAGCTGTAGACAGTAGGAAACGGAGTTGGACTTGCCTGTGGTGAAAAGGGTGCGTGAAAAAATGTATGAACCAGCTTTGCAACACGCGCCCGCCGGGCGACAATGCAGCACAATCGATCCTACTATTTCGGTCAAGGTGAGCGAACATGTTTGAACCATCATCCCAGTGCATTTCGTGGTGTGTATGTGCCATCCGAGTTGACCCGCAAGTCGCGAAACCAGTTTGATTTGACGTTTTATTTCACACACCCTTTTCCCACTGTGCAAGAGACCACAGCAGGTGCTCAGACTCTGCTACGCTACGCCAGCCAGCTCGATGCCGGCAATGAGCTTCCCCCCGTCAACCCCGCAACGGCAGATCCCCTTCACTCCCAACATGCATCAGCGAGGACCTCCAAGTCAGGCATGGGCCCCTCGCCCAATTTGACGGGAGGGGGGAGTTCGAGAAACGACGTCGCAGCAGTTTTGTTCAATTGGGTATGGGGTGTTGGTCGGCAAAGACGGAACACGGTTATGTTGTGAAGCCAGAAAAGACAACTCCCATTAGCGAACTGTAATGACAAACAGCAAAGAATTTTCATCGGCGTTCCCGCGTCTTCCTGGAAACGCGGCGTGACCATTTATAAATTCCAACATGCGGGGCAGACAGAAAAAAAAACAGAGAAAGACAGAGAGAGAGAGAGAAACAGGCATTGCTCTGCGCCCGTTCGAGTCCAAGACTACGGTCATGAAGGGACATTGGGGAAGGTCAGGCAAAGCATCTGCATTCTTAAAATATGAACCAGCTTTGCAGCTCGCGCCGGTCGGGCGACGATGCAGCACCATCGATCCAACCATTTCGGTCAAGGTGAGTCGCAGCGAACATGTTTATATCATCATCCCGGCACGAAGCCGGACGTCCAGGCTTTCGGCTCATGTGCCATTCGAGTTGACCCGCAAGTCGTGAAGCCATTGTGAAGTTAGACTTCGCGGTTGTTTGTCCAATTGGGTAAGGGGTGTTGGCATTAAGCGTAGGAGACCCGAGAGTTCATTATCCCTCTCATTGTGACCACCCACTCCTCATCATCCACACGTCGCCAACCAAGTACGGACCACAGCATACAACGTTTTGTCAGTAAGCGGCAAAGTTGATAGTCCATACAGTGCCGCCGGAGTCACAACGGCTTGAAACAGCTTCGACTTGTTCTTCAAATAGAGATGTTGTTTCAATTTTTCTACCGTCTAAATGGAATTTGCGCCATGCAACACTATTACGGGATACGGTGTGAATATTCCACGGCCGTGCGCTCACGGAGGCCACACAATAAACGTCCAAGGTAAGTTACCATGCAAAGCTGAAATCATGTCTCCATGCGCATCCAAATACATGGGCGATGCCACCTCCATCGTCGGATTGAGTTGCAAATCAGCTTTCAAAAACTCTGCCGCCAACACTTCCAACCATCAGGTCATCTGCACCCGTTTCTGCACTCAGCCCGCACGTACATGTCGCGTCCTCCTCGCAGCGCCACCCCGAACTCGCGGCGTGCGCAGCAGTATGCCGCTCCGCAGGCGCCTGCCGTGGCAGCCGGGGGCAGTGCAGGCTCCCTCCCGACGCACTTGCCGACGGACGCAGACGTGGCCCTCTGCTGTGTGTGCCTGAAAGCCGTAAGGCCGGAGGGGCGGAGCGCGGAGTTCGTGGTCCCGTTCCCATCCTGCACGGGGCATCACTTACACCTCGGATGCGTAGCACAGTTGCGCGCGCAAGCCCAGGGCCCTGCGACCTGCTGTGCCCACTCTGCCGCCACAGCACCTGCCCCGCTTGTGTGCTCGGAGGGTGGACGGGCCGTCACGATGCGCAATTGCGCCAGGTATGCGCGCAGCACGGGCTCCCGCCGCCCGCGAGGCTATCGGGCGAGTCCACGGTCCGCGAGGTGGTGGCGGACTACTTGAAGGGGCGGGGGTGTTAGTAATTGTATATGCAGGTTGTTAATTGTTTGGCACAGTTAGCAAATGACTTATATGAGATGTGTAAGTGTAGTTATTGAACTTAGCTATGTTGAAGTTAACTTGGTTAGCTAAGTGTATTTATATGAAAAAGATAAGTGAGCTAAGTGATCTATGTTGCATGAAGCATGCTGCTCAGAGACGCAATGCAGGGCTTTAAAGCTCGCATGCAGTTCTCTTTTTTACACCTGCGGGACTGCGACAATGGCAGCATTGCCCGAAATGCTGTAAGGGCATGTGGCCCGGATCAGTCGGGTTTGCACGAGGCCACAATCGTCGGAGACTTCATACATACAGCCATGGACATGTGTCCAGAAGGTAATGTGCGACCATACAACTTTCTCGCACATTACGGCAGTGACCCCATCCAGATCCATCAAGGCCAAGTCGCCGACAGCCACGGTGAAGTTTCCTCCATGCACTGCCTGCCTGGCTGTGAAGACTTCACCCTGGACCCGGATCGTGTTGTGCATCTCTGTTTGCAATCTGGCGGGAGCTGGTCTCACAGGGTCGACCAAGCGAACTCCTTGGCCTGGGAGGTATACACCCTCTGCCAGACTTTCCATGTGACCATGGAGTACATCTTGTAGGATGCTCCTCTCAAAGGTTCTGCTTGTATCCAAAATTTCATTCGAAATTTTTTTGATGATTTTATGTTTTCTTTCGTGCACAAAGCAGCTGAGGAGGACCTGATGCTTGGCCAGTTGCAGCGCCAAATGGCCTGCCAAGTGACACTTTGGCACCCACCACTCATCTCCATACCGACTTTTCGCCAGATCGAGATGCCTTTTGATGAGCTGCTGCAACTGCAGGGGGGTAAATGCTGAAGGTTTGGCATTGATCGCTTGCAAAGCATCAATCACCTTGCACAAAGCCAACCAAACCTCGCAAGAGTCCCGGATATCTCTGCTGCAATTTGGCAGCACAAAGACTAGCACATAGAGTCGCAGCAGCTGCATAAAGTTCAGAGCCTCGCTGGCTCCACACTTCAAGGTTTCGCTTGGCTTTCGCTTCTGCAAGATATCCTTTGCAGCAGCACCTCGCAAACGAGAAGGCCAGGTAAAACCATTTGCGAAGCGATCAATGTCATTGTGCTTCCAGCCATGGTTGTGAAGCTCTCCAAGAAAAAACCCTGTCAGAACATTGAAGATGCCATTGACTAAATAGACATGGAAGTAATCGAACATCACACACTCGATGACCGGAGGCCCGTATGCTGCATGTGCCAGCAATCCATCCTCTTTGAAATTGAACCCCATTGCTGTTTGGAGTTGCAGGAATCTGTCTTTGTTGAGGACCCTCTCTTGCCTTCGCAAGAAGTCCATGGTGTCTCGTATAGACTCGGGTGTGTGCATCCGAAAGCAACTCATGTCGGTTTCCAGGCCGGACACCATATTGCCCCGACTCCTTTCAGCAATGCTGCTTTTGTGGTCCACGGCGTTTTGGCATTGAACACAGAATATGAGCCCACTGGCTCCTTTATTGAAAAGGGTAGCCTTAATTGCAGCTTCGTCGGATATGATGATCTTCAAGTCGGCAAAGAGCATACGTGCTTGTCCAGGGCACTGCAACACAAGACCTTTTCTGAAGTCAGGTCTCTCAAAGAACAAGGCTGCTAGCTGCCTGAAGAGCACAGTCATGCCGCCGAGATCTGCGACCAGAGAGCTGCGAATGGCACAGAGAGTGAACCAGCAATTTTCGCAACCCATTGCATGCTGTCCCAAAGGGAGCAGGCTCCAATATACGGCCTGGACCTTTCTCCGGTTGGAGTGCTTGAGTTGGTTGCCCGGAGCCAGCTCGTCGGAATACCACACCAATCCCCATGGTTGAAGAATGCTGGGGGGTGTGGCATCCATGGCCCTCTCCAGGAACTCGCCAAATGGTCGACATCGCTCTGTCGCCCAGGCAAGCATTGCAGCTGGGTTCAAGACAGGAAATTCAAACTCCACACCAGTTTCGGCAACACACTTGAAGTCGCATAGGATCTCGCCATAAGCAGTTTGGTAGCTCCGAGTCTTCTCATCCCGGGCCCGCTTCAGTGTTCGGCGACTCGTCCCAGATGGCAACTCGGGCAGCTCTTTGAGTTCCTGCAAGACCTGACTGAGACCTCGCTGGGATACATATGATTTCCTTCCCAAGCAGGAGAGCGAGGAGCTCCCGGCGGAAGCCATGGGGTCTGCTGGCGAGCTCTTGGCCCTGCCGAGCGACCCACTACTTTGACTGCAGATTCATACATATATATATATGTATATCTGTATAAAAGGTATACTATATATAGGAAAAGTGGATGGGAGCATGCAGGCACTGTGTACGTACCTTATATATCTATATATATATATATATACAGAGATATGTTTTGTTTACATGTATATATGCATGCTCTTTGTTCCTGCAGGTTTCCAAGCATATTGCTGCAACGGTGCAACCCCACTGCGAGCAGTCCGGGAAACTCCAGTGCAAGGCCAAGACAACCTTTAACCATAAACCCGAAACTAAATATTTGATATATATATATATATGTATACACAGAAACCCGAAAGCTATAGATATATAGCATCCGAGTATTGATTTGTACACATATATATACATGTATATACAGTATATATATATAGTATATACCACACCAAACCTAACCTAACACCAAACGTGATCCTGAGACACATCTTAATAAATCGCAAAGCCATATATAATATATACATGTACAACTCGAAAGCTTCAACATAGCTCTCGAAGAAGGGTCCACATTCGCACCCTCCTAAAAGGACACCCCTGTATAATATATGTGTGTGTATATATATATATATCAATATATATTCAACCCATATATATATATAAAGTATATATAGGCTCCTATATATATATATACATCCCATATGTAAAGTATATCTATGTATATATATGTATATAACACATATATAATATGCCACGAAACAAAAACCCGGATCGTGCAGGCATCCTGCACCACCGCTTTTGACACCTGCCAGGATCGCTTCGGTCTTTCCCTCCGTGGCAAGCGATGCTCCCAACATTATACCTCCCGAGGTACAATGGCTTTAATGTACACACAGCCTTTGTGAAAGATGAATAATAAGGTGCATGCTTCCTGGAGGCTCGCGAACAAAACTTTGCTGATGCTGGAAGACACCAAAACACGTCAACATGCATATAGACTTAAGATGTATACACTCTGCCTGTAGCCTCCAAACTCTCACCCTATATAGGACTCCAGCTGTGCATGCTTTCAGCAGCTGTTGATGCAATCACGGGCCAAAGCACGACGGTGTGCAGCCGGGCCTGTTCCGGCACTTGCCACACCCATTGGGTCGCAGCTTGATGCGAGCCGACAAAGTCATGCATCGGACCTCTTCTCGAGTGAACTTCTTCAAAGCCTTCTGGACCTTCTTCGGCTGCGACTTCGCCTTCGCCTTGCAAGCAGCCTTGGCCTTCGCCTTGGGCTGCGACTTTGCTTTGGGCTGGGACTTCATGGCCGTGCACTTGGCCTTCGCCTTAGCCTTGGCCTTGGCTTTACCCTTGGCCTTGGCTGCAGCCTTGGGCTTCTTATTTGCCTTGTGCTTCGCCTCGTTTTCCTTGGCCTCGGCCTCGACGGTGCTGTCGAACCCTTTGTTGTCGCCCTTCCAAGCTTGAAGCATTTCATCTGCATGTTGTGCAGCACTGACAGGATCCTTGCTGGCCAGCACTCCCTGTTGCTCGGCCTGCTTTGTTCCGCTGCCCTGTGCCGGTTCATTGGTAACTGTAGGAAGCTGCAAGGCCTGCTGTTGAGCAGGCGAGGAGGCCATCGTCCCAGACGAGGCGGCAGCAGCTGGGTCGCCGAAGATTTTCAACCCAGGCAATCCATCGTTCTTCTTCGCCAATTGCTGCTGCTGGTTGAACATGTTAGCTGCCATGCTGCCCCAGAACTGCATCATACCCTGCATGGTGTGGGGCATGTGCATTGCCGGGCCTGCTGCTGGACCACCCAGCACCATGGCAGTGTTGCTCTTGTGGAAAGAGAGGCTTTTGTTACTGCCACGAAGAGCATCACGGGCCAGCACCATTGTTCCAGGCAGCTCACCTCCCAAGGCATCTGCGAAGCGATCTCGGGTGTGTGGTGGAAGATCCTCAGGCCGAGTGTACTTGGCGACGAACTCGCCACAGGAAGCATCTTTGAGCATGGTCTTCACCTTCTTCTTGAGGCACACGACAGCCGAATGGAACTCGTCGGGGTTCTGCAAGCCAGTATTGTTGCAACTCTGCAGGGTCTTGATGATGTGTCCCACAGACTGTTCTGATGGCCAGAACATCTCCAGTCGAGCCATTATCTGAGCAGTGTGAGTCAGCCTCATGACGAGGGTGTCGTCGCTGGACAAAACTCTCCGGTCCTCGGCGCCCAAGAAACCCCAGAAGTTGAGAATTTCCTGGTTCTTCTTCTTGGCCTTGGCATTTGCTGGAGTGCTGCCTGCCAAGGTCTGGGAGACGGCTGCACCCAGGGCCTGCTTCTGCTCGTGTGACCAAAGGCCCTGCTGCACCAAGCTGCAGATCTCTGCACCCTCCTCGACTGTGATGTGGCTTTGACGAATCGTTCTGATGGCGACCTCGCTCTGAGCAGCCAAGAGAGAAGTCCATTGATCTCCCATGATGGGCTGCTGGGTCTGGAGGAGCTGGTTCAGCTGTCGAAGGAAAGCAGCTGCCATTGCACGGCCGGATATAGCACAGATGCTCTGCACAAAGCGAGCTGCTGTAGCCCTGCTTGCGAACACCTGTCTATATAGAGCAGCAGCGGGCAGCAGGCAGATGATGGAGTGCATGTGCTTTGCAACACACAAGCATGCAGCCTGCCACTGGAGACGTCTTTCACATTGCATGCAGTCACAGACCGGAAGACTTCTTCACCAAAGGGGTCTCGGTTTCGCAGGCAGGGCTCTGAGCTCGCCAGCAGAACCCGTAGACACCCTCAAGAGCACAGCCATGTTACTACAGTATACCGACACCTGCAGGCATGCAAGTGTGTAATATATGTGTATGTAAGTTCAGAGATTCAGTCCATTTCATATACACATAAATATATATACACATATATGTATGTATATATATATATATATATATGTGTATGTAAGAATATATGAACGATATGTTTTGGTATCTGTATATGTATATATATATATATATACATATCGTGTATATATACATATATATATATATGTATGTGTGTGTGGGGTATACACATCTCACATGTAATAGGTATATATGCAGAGTGTGTAAAACTGTGTATGTATATGTACTTCAGTGAAATCCATGCAGCCACTTTGCTATGTAGCAGTCTCTTCCTTCACAGCCAACCCCCCCTCCCTCCAACCCCCTTGTACCTTCCCTCGCTCACTCGTTCTCTGTCTCTGTCTCTGTCTCCCTCTCTCCCTCTCCTCGTTTGTTGCTCTTTGTCGCAGACACACACACACACACACACACATGTTGCCATGGGGGTCTGTGTGCCTCATGGGCCTGACCAAACGGTGCACACTCGGAGGATGGGCGGTTTTTCTTCAAACTGGCCCAAAAGGTCTGTGGTCGTGAAACAGTCACAGGACGAGGCCCCGGTAGCCCGAAGCCTCGGCTATACAGGGGGAGATAGCCCCCTCGCCGATTCGTTTTCTGCAGCCCAAAGCTATTTCTTACCTATATAGTTTCCCTACTTATTGCCTAGAGAGGCCAGAGGACAGGGAACCACGAGGGCACTGGGAAAGCAACCCTTTATGCATGCATAAGGGGCCTGACCCCCAAAACCCGAAACCTTTATGTATGCATAAAGGTTTGTGCCCTTGGCCCTGCCGAGGTTTATGCATGCATAAGCCCCGCCCTAGGAAACTGAACCCAGCCATATGCATGCATAAAGTTCCGGTCTATTTTGCTTAAGGGGCTTTATGCATGCATAAACCCCGGCCATCGGGACTGGTAGCCCTGACCCTCTGTGCCCGAAGCGGCGAGCCGGAAAATGCCCCCAATTTCAGGTCCTTCGCTGCTCACAGCATGCAGGACCTTGGGATCCAAGCAAGCAGGCCAGGCCGTATATAGAGCAACACAGGCGGTCTGAGCTTCCAACTATTAGCGGCTCCCCTGGTCTCCAGGCCACAAACCAGGGGTGCCAGGCAGGAACCATGGGATCCTGCCAGGCATTATAAGTTTCAACACCATCAGGACAGAAAGGCTCCTCGGTCACAGCACAGGCCTCAACGGACTCGCTTCTCTTGCAGGTTCATCGTCTCGGCCATGACCCCCATGGTGTGGAGGGAGGCCCGCAAGTCCTGCATGTCGGGGCTCGCGGTGTCTTCAGCTTTGCTGTTCTCGTGGATTGGCAAGCAGCAAGGGTCCTCCATGTGGCTTCGGGACTCCTCCAAGGCCCCTTGGGCCTGGAGTGCCCGGACACCTTGGCCACCACGTGTCCGGGCCCTCTTTCTCCCCATGCCCGCCGCCCACTCCTGCAACGGGGCCAGCAGCAAGCAGAGGCAAACCTGAAGCACCATCACAAAGACCAAGGCAAGCCTGCCCGTGCTCGTCGATGAAAGCGACCTGCCCAAGAAGACTGCATCAGTATAGAGACAAGTGCAGTCGTGCATGCCAGACCCAAAGAAAAAGCCTTGGGCTTCACGTAGTGCCCTTTGCCCTTCGTGTCCGGCATCAGATCTCCTCAATCCAGACAACAAACACTTGCAAAGAAGCCTGGCTCCAGACAACCACAAGAAGTCCTTCGTCCCAGTTCGAGGGCAAAGCCTGCCACAGATGCAGCATGCATTATATACACAGTGAACAGCTATATGCTTGCTGTCCTTGGTCTTTGGCACGGGGTCCATGTACCTCTTCGGAGGCGGGTCCTGCAATCAAACAAGAAGTACATTATATCGCCTTACGAAGAAATTCCGCCTTCGGCTCCGTTGGGCGCTGCTTCTTGCTGTTCGCCGGCTTCAAGACAACTGGCGAGCAGGCACACTAGATATGTACGATGGAGCAGCATGCAAAAGCAGTTGCAATGACATGTCGGGCATGCTGGGCTCGGCCGCTGGATCCTCGACGTCCACCTCCACGGTGTCCGACTCCTCGTGGCCTGCATGCTGCAACTACATGGATATATACATATGGACTCCTTGAGCTTCAAATACCCGGCCTTCCAGGCATATCACAGAAGCTTTAAAATCTCCCACATCGTCGTTCCAGTAGAGCCACCCGCCTTAGGCGACAACGGTTTTCTTCTACCCAAATTAAGAAAACACCTAGGACCAGGGCTGGCAGGCACGTTCATGGCCTGCACGTCTGGGTGCTTGAAGTACATGTCACCTGCACGAGTGCACGAGCCAATTCACTTGATTCCATGCAGACACTATATATAACTGCAGCCTCCAACAGACAGGATCTTCCACCCCATCTTGGCCGACCAGGAAATCGTGGTGCCTGCAAAACAATTGCAACCAAATGAAAGGCTATATATCCATATCACTTGCATGGGGGCACCGGCCTTCATCATTCTTGTATTTCCCCCTCCCGGACTTCGAGAAGTCCGTGTGGAGCTGCAGCCGCTCCACCACATCGGCCTGTTATTTTTGGGGCGGTGGCATGTGTGTGCATGTGGTTGTACAGGGGCCCCACCTCCACAGCGGAGGGAAGGCTTCGCGACAAGAAGCTAAAGGACATCATCACTCCCAAAAACCACGGCAGCTTCACAAGCCAAAAGAGCTGAAAAAGCAAGCATGGCGCAGACGTGGCACCCACTGCAACAAGGGCAAATGTGCATGCAGAAACACGACACCAATGTTCAGAGAGCTTCGGTCGATGTCGTCTGTCCAAAGACAGCATCGGGCAATCAAAGTGTGGAGCCGTTGTGAGTTTGCATCATTGACAGTAATATATACATATGTATATATATATATATATTTTTTTTCACGGTGTGTTGATACATACTATACATCAAGTATACACATTGCATGGATGCACGGAAGATACATGCGAGACTGCATGCAGAATCACTTCTTGGCCTTCGCCGGGGAGCCAACGATGCCCTTCGGGGCCGGGTTCTTGGCCGGGGAGCCATTCAGGATGCTCTTCAGGGCCGGGCTCTTAGCTTTTGCCTTGGCCTTGCCCTTGGCTTTCGCCGCTGGAACCTTCTTGGCCTCCTTGTCGGAATCCTCGCTGGCATCGGTCTTGTCCCGGGAGCTGTGCCTTCTTTTCTTCCGATCGACAGGCATTTGTCGATTCGCCTGCTCCATGAGCCAATTGAAATTTTCGGAGAGCATCTCCACGAAGATGCTCCCGGTAGACAGGCCCTCGCTGAGGATCGACAGCTGAAAGCCATCGATCGTAATGTCGACGATCGCCGGCAACAGGTGCAAATGCTTGGCCAAAGCCTTCACCTTATCCTTCTTGCTTTTCTTCTTCTTGGGCTCGTCGTCGGCTTCATCGTCCCTCAGGGCCTCTTCCAGCAGCTTGTCGCAAGCAGCCTGCCTCTTCTCGATCAAATCGTCAAAGAGCTTTATGTTCAGCGACCCCGATGATTCCCCTTGGCCGGACCGCAAGTCCAGTCGTTTGCCTGTGATCATTTTCACAAGCTGCGGGGACCATTTCGAGACAGCACAGAAGACCCGGTCGTCGACACTCTTTTGGGTTGGCATCCAGCTTCGGTCACCCAGCACGACAACCTGTTTCGTCACAATCTCGAAGCAAGCCATGATGATGCGATGCACGGGGGAAATGGTTTGATGCGAGGCTGGAGCTGTTTTCTGCCGGCGAGCACACATGCCCTGCCTAGGCGAAAACGACACATCCATGCAAGCAGCAACTTCAACAATGCACCTGCACTTCATCACGGGCGATGCATCCTGCACTTGCATACAGAAGCATATAAAGCTGCACTGCATTTCCATCCGCAAAGCACAAGCTCGCACACCTGAGGGATCCTCGCACCATGCAGCTGCACAGAACACTCTATGAATGGTCGCTCTATAAAAACCATGCCCCTCGGATGCTTGCAACCTGCAACAATTGTACATATCCTTCTCCGCAATGCATTAGAAACAGACCTCACATATACATACAATGGAATCTTTCAGATACTGCAAGCTCAAGCAATGGCTGCTGCTGGTATAGCAGCACACTGGACTGCATACGGATGCCGAAACATCACTTCTTCTGAGCCTTCTTGCTGGAGCCACCTGAGCTCGCCGATGCTCTTTTCTGCGCCAAAGTCTTGTGGTCGTCCTCCACTTCCTCCAAGGGAGCCACCTGCACCGTTTTAGATCTGAAAGCCACAATGGGGCTGCCTTCCGGGATCTTCTTGGTGTTCTTAAAAACCGGAATCTTGATGCTCTTCTCTGTTCCCGCAATCCAAACAAGCTTCACATTGCAATCCTCTTCCTGATGGCTGTGCTGCACCAACCAAAAGGGAACTACCACATGTTTGCAAGTGTCGTCGTCGTTATCTTTGGGTAGAATGTTGGCTCCGGAAAGCCAAAACTTGCGGTCGTCTCCTTGCCAGTCCGTCTGCACCTCAAACATGGTGTTGCCTTGGCCCTGGGATTTCTGCACGACCTTGTTGGTCATGGGCACCATGCAGAGTTTCTTGATGTCCGAGTTGGCAAGCAACACCCTCGAAGGCTTCAGCTGCAATTTCAGGTGCTCCGATCCACACTCCATGGACTGGTGAAGCTTGTAGAGCTCAAGCTGAATCTTCGATGCAAGAATGCTGGCATCAAAATCCACATGGTGCTGGTACTGGTCCAAGCTGTCTAGCATTGTGGGCTGCACACGAGGAACAAACACGACCCAATCTCCAGCCAGGATAACATTGAGATCCACCTTGGCCGTCTTTCCCGAAGCCATCTTCACAAAGACCATCTGACCTTTCACTTCTGAAAGAACTCCCTCGATTTTGTCAACCTTGCGACGGATGTGTGCACCCATAGCGAAACCCTTGGAGGCCAATATCTTCTCAGGTTCCTTGATACTGCCGTCTTCAGCAAGCTCAAGCATCACACCTGCAGCAGAAGGCTGGGAAGCAGTCGCTGCAGTTGCAGCTGGTTCACTTTGCTCAGACACCGACTCCCATGGCAAAGGGAGTGCAACACCGGTCAGGTTTCTTGCCACGAGCAAAAAATCGTGCCCAATCGCTTGGACTGTTTTGTACTTTTTCTCGTCCGGCACCTTGATGCCGAGGACGTGCGATGCTATCGTCATATCCATAGTGGCCAGAGCTTGCACGACCCGCGAATCCGTCATGAAATCGCGAGCTCCATCCCTTAAGATGCCCCTGACCGTGAGGATCATGTTGTCAGCTTCCTTGACCTTGGGGAAGAGTTCTTTAGAAGTCATCTTCTTCACATCAGCAATGGTCACATTCTGCCTCAAGTATGCCTGCTTCATGAGTGCATGGCGAAATGCTGCAACGGGATCTGACTGGTGCCCTCGGCAATCTTGCCCGAAAGCCTCCCACAGGACAGGCCCCAATTGCCGAGAAGAAGGGCAGTAAGCCCGCACAAAGGACTCCGTCTCCTGAAGGAAGCTCGCATCGGCACCCCCGGAAGCCTTCAGACAAAACGTAAACATGTGGGGTACGGAGGCATGGCAGCTTGGTTTGCTGGCCAATATCAACTTCTTCAGAGATGCAAAAGCCGGTGCTTGGCCAGTCTGAGTCTGCAAGCGGTAGTACGTGGAATGGATGCGACGGAGTACTTGTAGCTCATGTTCTCCTCGTTGAAGCGATGTGTTGCCTGACCGGGATATCAAGCTGATCAGCTCTGGGAACTCTTCCGCCACGGAGGAGGAGATCACGTCCCACGTCAGGCCTTGATCAGCTGCTTCGTGGAACGAAGCATCCCGAGCACGAAGAAGCTCCATGCTGAGCTTTCCACCCACACTCACGACCTCGTTGCCGTGGCTTGCACCTTGTTGAAAAAGTCGCAAAGCGCAATTGGTATGTGATCCGCAGATCGAAGTGATCTTGATCGCTTCCGGCTCAAGGCTTCCGAGAAGACCGTGGGCTGACTCGAACAGCTTCTTGTTCCACTGCCGGACCCAGTCTCCTTCGACTTCGACACCGACCGCATGCACACGTGTGGGGACATAGCCCACATCGACAATCGAGTCCACAAGATCACGAACGTCTTGTGGATTCACTCCGTACCCATCCCGGTTGCAGGGATGGATCCCCACAAGGCTCGCCTCCAACTTCATGGAGGTCAAGAGATGCTTGGACTTCAAGTAGTTCAAGCAGTTCTCCACGATTCGGACAAGGCCGTCGCCATCCGAGGCTTCTCGAAGGAAAGCCTGCAGCCGCTCTCGCACATCCGACTGCAAAGGCATGATGGGCAAGCGAGATGGAGGACGGAGCTGAAAATCTGCCTGCGAGCCAAGGGCCCTGCAATGGCGATAGATGGCTGCAATGCATGGAGTCATGCACAATACACAGAAGGCAAGCATGCGAGCATGTCCTCAACACATGCAATGCAGCAGCTTTCCATGCAATTTTCAATTGCATCCTGAATACATGCGGCAGGAGATCTCCATGCAAGCTTCCGTTTGAAGCTTTGCAAATGCCAGGAAAACAACTTCAAATAAACAACTTACACCACTTACCTAAATCAGTTACACAAAGTTATCTAAGTTTGGCAAGTTGCTTAAAAGACTTGTTCTATCTTACTTATAAGTTCCACCCTGCTTTTGGCTAAGTGACTCAACTGCTTGCTCCACTTCTTAATTCAAGCCTCGGACTTGCTAAGTTGTCCATACAACATAGTATATATACAGCACTTATAACTCATGTTAACGAACTTGTAACTCAACTTAACCTGATTGTCTAAATCTCCTAAACCATGTATTCGATTACTAAACACCCCGCCCCTTCAAGTACACGCTCCGCACATTTACGCGCAATGACGCGCCTGAGCCACGCCCGCCACCCGGAATCTCTGTGTTGTGTTGCCGCCGTGTCGCGCCAGCTCACGGGCCCGGCGAGCCTCCATCTTTCATTGAGCTCCAGGACCGCAGCATGCAGTGGGCGCCTGTGCCCATCAGACACGCAACTGGAATCGCGGCATGGCGCCCGGCGTGGGTCTGCCCCCGATGCGGCGAAGATGCAAGGCTTGAGGATATCAACGTATACACCCACAAGCCGGCGACCTTTGTGACCGATGCGGAGCGATCCCGCAGTGGTCTTTTGACTGGTTCACCAGCCGGGGCGAGCTCTTGTGCTCAGCCGACTGTGCGCCCGCGGCGTCGCGCTCCGAGGAAGCCTCTGTCGCCCCGTCAGCGGTTGCGCCTGGCGGCTCCGGGCGGCCGCGCACCGCAGACGCGGGCACAATGCACGCACCCGCAGCCGATGCCTGGGCGACGCGCGGGCCGCCGCAAGGCGCACCCTCGCCAACCAACTCTTGGCTGTATGTGCCACTCCTCCGGGCAGCCGCAAGGCAACTGCAGGAGCCAGCGCTGGACCAGTGGCACCAGGACCCGCGGGCCTCGCCTTGGTGGGAACACACACGCAGTGCATTGGCCGCATCGGATCCAGTACTCGCCACCACTCTTGTGGATTCCTTCGTTGCGGCAACGGCACTTGCGGGTGAACCACTGCCTTCTGAGCTGCTGGCCGAGGCATCTGCGCTCCCGCCCAACACCTCAGTGCACCTTGGCTGGGTCGTGCGCAACCTGCATCCGGGCTCCAACCGGATGGGTACATCACAGCAGCCTGCCAGGAGGGCTGCCTCCAACTCTACGGAGGCCTTGAGCTCCCTACCCAGCTAAACCGGTTTTCCGATGCCTTCCGTACGGCGGAAGGGTTGCCTGCAAATGAGGCGGTTGAGGAGCGCATCCCGGCGGATGCCGCTCTCGCAAGTGCGGCGATCGCGGCCCGGTGCCAGGAGCGAACCCGACCGCACGGGGGCCCCGGCCACCCCTGCACTTGAGCAGGCCGCCGAGCCTGCCACCGCTGCAACGCTAGCGGCAGCGCGTGGCCAGGGACGCGCCCGAGGTCGTCGGCGCCGAGGACACGGCGGGCGCGCCACTGTGCCGGCCCCCAATGCGGCAGTTCAGGCGCATACGGAAGCTGCCAGCGAAGTGCACGAGTCTTTGGTGGTACCCACCGCTACTATGCAAGGGGAACAACGGGTTGCCGGCGTCGAAGCTGGGGTGCGACGTGGGCTCGCTCAGCTTCAGGAGCTCGATCTACCCGCGGAGCTTCGCCGTCGTGTCCTCACGCTGCAAAGAGCTCCGCGTAAGCTGCGTGGCACTTTGCGTTTTGCTCTCCGGTCTGGCCTCAGCACGGCGCTCGATTCAAGGGAGCCCGCGGTCGCCGCGTGAGGCTGGAAGCTTCTTTTTCTCGCGCCCAGGATGCTGCTGCACCGCGCCGCAGGGCAAAATTGCATACCGGCGAGCGAGTTGGAGCAGCGATGCGCCTACTTCCGACAGGGAGAGTGGCTGCAGCTTCTCCGTGAGGCGGCGGGGACTAGACCACTAGACCGGCAGGGCAGGCCCGCCCAACAACCACTGCAGAACCTGTTCTGGCCGCGGCTGGACTACAGGAGGGTGAGGCCATGTTCGCTTTTTTGGATGACACGTATGTTGTGTCAGCACCGCAGCGCACGGGAGCGCTGCACGGCGCCCTGGAGGACGCGCTATGGCACCATGCCCGCATACACTTGAACCAAAGCAAAACTCGCGTATGGAACGCTGCAGGTGAAGA